ATTCAAAATGGCCGCCATCTTCTCTCTCCTCCAAAGCACCAAACTGGACCGCAGGTTCTGACCCGATGTGTGGTTGGAACTTCGCTGAAATCATCCTGTGGGTTAAATAAATAATCCTGGAGCTTCCAGTGGGGAGACGATGTTCAGATGTTTCGCTTTATTAGCCTGCTAGCTAACGAGCTAACAGGAAACCACAGAGCTGGCGTTTCACTCTGCTGAGGTTCCTGAGGGCAACTAGAAGCTGCTGGTTCTGAACAACAAACTTTACTCATTATGACTTTCATTTAGAGACATTAGCGAAACAGAAACTGCCTCGGAAAGTTGGAGGCCAGTGGAGAAACGACCATGAAGAAGAATAATAAAAGACCCTGAATAAAGATGATTTCTTGTGAAAACAAACTGCAGACACACTTCTGGTCATGAGAATCTCAGCAGTTCATAATTAGATCAAGTAAATTAAATGCAGGAAAGGATTTGGACCAGGACTGTTTCTCCATAATCCCTGCAAATCCAGCTAACAGAACCGTAGGAAGTTTCCTGTAATTGAGGAGATGAAAGCCCAAAATATCCAGAGTTGGAAAATATATGTGGATTAATTAGGATTGTGTTTGTTTGTGCTGAATGGTGCAGATATTAGCGTGTAACAGCATCTGTGGTGTGCATCAGAAGGTAATTGTTCACAGAACCAGAACCATCAGAGCAGCTCCTCGCTGCATGTTGATTGGATTTTACTGCTTTGATCACTGAGCCTCTATTTTTTACCCCTGGAGGAGAGAATGACGGATGAGACTGTAAACATGCTGCATGTGTTCAGTTATGTTCACAAAGGAGTTTCTGAAACAAGAACGCTTCTCTGGATCAGGGCCCACTTTGGTCCACCGACCAGAACCGCCCCACACTGACAAACAGACACCATGACAACAAGCAACGATGCCTGAAACACCAGGCTTCAACCCGACTCCGGTCCGCTTCAACCCGACTCCGGTCCGCTTCAACCCGACTCCGGTCCGCTTCAACCCGACTCCGCTCCGCTTCAACCCGACTCCGCTCCGCTTCAACCCGACTCCGCTCCGCTTCAACCCGACTCCGCTCCGCTTCAACCCGACTCCGCTCCGCTTCAACCCGACTCCGGTCCGCTTCAACCCGACTCCGCTCCGCTTCAACCCGACTCCGGTCCGCTTCAACCCGACTCAGCTCCACTTCAAACCGACTCCGCTCCGCTTCAACCCGACTCCGGTCCGCTTCAACCCGACTCCGCTCCGCTTCAACCCGACTCCGCTCCGCTTCAACCCGACTCCGGTCCGCTTCAACCCGACTCGGTTCATCTACAAACCTCTGACTGAGTCCAATTTAACCAGAACTTCATCATCTGTTCCAGCTGCTGTGGTTCTGACCCAAACCAGCCTGTTCCCCTCCTGGCCTATGGGGGCGCTGCACCAACAACCACTGCAGGAAACGACACTAAAACCTCTGAAGACACTGAGAGCAACTTCCTGTTTCACCAGATGAAACAAGATGGAGGCGTCAGAGTTTAGTGATTTCTCTTTAGTGTTTGGCTGAAGACCAGGAGCCATTTCTGCTGCTAACGCTAGGCTAGCATGTTAGCTTTGGTTGTATTTACCCAGAATGCCCTGCGCTGCAGTCCACTTCAGTTGATCCAGAACGCTGCTGCTGCTGTTCTCACTGAAACCAGTGAATTAGAGCCATTAGATTGAAGAAACAAGGAGAAAAATTCCACAGAAAATGTGGAAATTTTCTGATAAATTAAACATAAGAAGAGATTATGCTGTTTTAGATTATTTACTGACTTATTAATTCCTCCTTATATCTGAGAACTGGAACCGATCAGAGTGTGGCTTACATATTGATCTCATATTGATCAGCCAGAGCCGGTCTGACTGCAGCAGGTTCTGTTCAGACGGGTCGCCCTGCAGCAAAGCAGCGCCGGCGTTCTGACCGACAGATTTTCCATCAGAACTTTCTGCTGAGTCCCAGAAAGCAGAACGATGCGGTTTGGACTCTAACTGAGTTAAAAGGTGAGTTTTGTTTTTACCTTTTGCTGAAACAGAAAACTGCTTTCCTGGCCAAAACAGACGAGAGAAAAACTCTAAGTTAGTTTGATGCAACCTCAGAAAAACAGCAGAAATATTCCTGCTGCACTCAGTAAGTTCACTGGAAAAAAACAGAAAACAGCCTTTAAAACTAGGATTAAATTTTTATCTGACTTTGAAATGAAATTAGCATCAACAAATAGAAATTATTTTTCATCATTTTCAAGTTCTTCAGCTGCAAATATTCATTAAGGAATTATGAGAAAGTTAGTCTGGAGATCACAACAACAATCAGTGATTTACTTGTAAAGGAGGTCATGTGGAGCAGTTTTCAGCAGTCAGCGTCTAACTGCCACTTTAATTCAACAGTTTTATGATTTTACAATAAATGTTTATCAGCTTCAACAACTATAAAATCCATCCACACCGCGGCGGCCATCTTTATAGCCGTAAACAGAGCGCCGCCGCGGCCATCTTTACTGCCGTAAACGCTGCAAAGAGACGGCTGCGTTCTTCTTCTGCAGGTCACTTTGGGATCAGAAAACGTTACGCAAACTGCGATTCAGTTAACTACTAGAATGATTTTGATCTAATCATGTGAAGCTTTCATATGAAATGATTGAATGAGAGCGGAGAGGTTGCAGCGAACCTGATGCTGTGAGGTAGCTGCAGGGCAGCAGCGCCCCCCGGAGGAACACTGCGGTCCGCTCCTCCTCCACCCAAATCGCTCCTAATAGCTTTTATCTGTTTTTAGTCAGCAGGTGGCTTGTTGTTGAGCTCTGTGTCCAAAACAAACCTTCCTCCTCACCCAGAGAGTGGGAGTCCAGTTGGTGGTGTGAAGAACAGCATTGTGGGTAAATGTCACAGAGAGCCTTCTGTTCGAGATCTGACTCAGTGAACGGAGAAAAAACGTTTTGTCAGGTTCAGACGGAGACAGACAGAACGGCAGCAAGGATTTACACTCACTGCCTGTCGGTGTTTGACCCACCAGAACCATGAAGCTGGGAGCTGACCTCTGCCTGACCTCTGCCTGACCTCTGCCTGACCTCTGCCTGTTCTGGCTCTGTTTGCTCTCTCCTCTGAAATATTTTACATTTAAACTCTTCTTGAAAAATGAACCTGAGAATGCAGCCAAAAGATTCAGAACATTTTTAGAACCAGTGGACTCCTAGCACTTGGTTAGCAATGTTAACCTGCTAACCAAAGCTAGCAGGTTAGCATTGGTTGTATTTACCCAGAATGCCCTGCACTGTCGTCCACTTCCTGTTGTTGAAGCGGTCTCCGGTCCGCTTGGTGTTCACCTTCAACCCGAACCCAGACCAAGGTGTGGAAGACCAGAGGTCAGAGGTCAATCAGCATTCACACCTGACCAACCGAACCGGACTTTGACTAGGCAGACAGACTGGAGTTGGGTTAAAGTGGACTGGACACATTTAATTGAAGTTAGGCGTAAAATACGGAGCAGAAAGATTTGATTTAATGTTGGTGATTAGAAACAAACAAACATGAAAAGCTTTTCCAGAAATGAAAGATTTAGTAAATAAATATAAATACATGTCGTTTCAATGTTTTCTGTACCTTTTCTATTTATGCAACAAGTGTAAACTGCATCTATTTAGGACTCAATAACACAGAGACACACACACACACACACACACACACACACACACACACACACACACACACACACACACACACACACACACCTCCGCTCTCTGCAGGTGTTTTGGAGGGAAGCAAATGAAAGTTGGCGTTTCCAGTCATGGCTGACGTCAGGTTGCCTCCCATCATGGCGCTGCGCCCGCTGACAGAGCGAGCCATCTGGGCCCCTCCGCCCGCCCTCTGGGCCGCCGGCCAGACTGGGAGGACTGGGAGGACTGGTGGGTCGCTCGCCAAGCTGCAGCGTTTCCGTCATTTCAGCGGCTCGATGTCCTCCGGGTCGGTTTCAGCTCCACCGGCTGCCGAGTTTCACTAAGACCTGAAATAATCAGATTTCATATGAATCCGTCTCCAGAGGATCAAAATGAACTTAAATGCAGGATCAGTTTATTTTTTCACCTGCTGTATCTTAGATCAGAGCTGCTCCTTCTTTTCCAGTTGATTCCCAGAAACCTGCAGAACCATCTGCAGGTTTGAGACCTGGAATAATTTACACTCCATTTCCAGCAGCAGATGTGACTCCAATAATCATGCTGACATTAAAGTACAGCATGATGATTTTATCATGCTGTACTTTAAAGACCAAAAGGCCCAAGACTTTGGAAAGAATTTAGTTCATTCTGATCAGTAAAATCAGCATTCACACCTTTATTTGAAAATGTTTCTGTATTTATTCAAACTAATTCATTAAAAGCAGATTTACATGCAGCAAAGTTTTAAGTAAAAGTCTCCATTCCTTCAGTTTGAAAGGGGAAGAATCAGGATCAGCGAAGGTCACAGTGAGCATCGGCTTTGGGCCGCACAGAACCAACACACACATTGTGGAGGGAAAACTTCACAGAATCTTTATAAACTTTAATTTGAACCAAACCCAGAGTTTTAAAAACATTTAAAGACGGTTAACATTTTATGTTTATGCATCACAAAAAATGTGAGAAATATTTTAACGTTATAAACATTAGAGAGAGACGTAGCTTTAGCACATCTGAGCAGCAGCTCAGCCAGGCAGCGTCAGCAGCCATTATGTTCTATTTTAGGAAGATTTTACTTTCTGATCATTTTGTCCTAATTATTATTAATGAACTGAAGTCAGGATATTAAGTAAATATAGAGAAATGATCCAGATGCCCAGATCCCGATCCTTCATGTGGAACCAACTGTTCAAGGCAACGTTCTGCAGGGAAACATTATAACGTAACACTTCAACTCTTTAACCAATCAATAACAGAACTGATCAGGTCCTGAGACCCAATAGAAATAAAATCCAAATAAAGTAAGACGATGCAGTAATTCAGTAAAAATCAACATTTATTATAAAAATACATCCAACAGTCGAGTGAATTTGAGGATCATTAGAAACAAAGCAAAGCGACCGAAGTTCTCCTGCTGGGGGCCGCGCCGCGCGTGAGTGTGTCTGGTTGAGTGTGTGTGTGTGAGTGTGTGTGTGTCTTCCACTCCAGAGATCGATCGGAGTGATCGGTCGGAGTGATCGGTCGGAGTGATCGGGTCCCGCCGCCAGCAGACCCGTTACCAATGCTTGTCATGGTAACACTGGAGGAGTAAACCTGAGCAGATTATTGCTGAAGAAATCTTTATAGTTTGGACACAGTCTCAAAAATCAGCTTCCATATTTCCCATCAGCCACTTCAGAACTTTATGTCACATTACATGTTGTAGTCATCATATTTAATCAACTTTAACAATAATATGTAAAAATCACCAAGGACTCTGCTGTTAGCAAATGCTAGTCATTAGCTAATGCTAAGTATTTCTAAGTCTTTAGTGGTTTAGTGTTAGCAGAGCTAATTTTTCTGTGTGTAGCATTAGCTTCTGCTAATATTTTCTATGTCCTTGGTGGTTTAGCAGATACCAGTTTCTGCTAATGCTATAGTGAAGCTAACTTTTGGTAAGCTGTTGCGACAACTAACAGTAATTACTGCAACACACATTCTCCATGACGACCATTTTGAGAAATGACCCCCAGAAAGAAGATCAAGAAAATGTTTGATTTAATGATTTAACTGCCAATTTTAGTGGAAAAATTTACTATAACCACGGTGGCCATATTGAATAATAAACATGAGTAAATATGATTTCTATGGGTTGAATTATGTAGCATTTGACAGCATTGATGTCTGATGAGATTTGGTCCCACTATAAATTTTCTTTGACATCCATCTTGAATTGTTCTGTAGCTAATCGTTGTTGTTTGTATTTTCATGTTAAAGATTTAGTTTAATCAATTCTCTGCTGTATAATGCGTCTGATCACAATCAAATTCAATGAATGTTTTTTTTAAAGATGAATCTTCTGCAAAGATTCAAATCCTAATATTCCAGAAATTAAGAACTAGATCAGACTCACAAACAGGAAACGCTTGCATAGAGTCGCTAACAAGGCCAACAGATCTTAGATTCTCCAGATCAGGTATGAGCAGGTAATGTTTTACGCCTCGTTTTCTCCTTGTTGAGCTGGTCCAGGAAGCTAACGCTAATGGCTAATCTGAAGATTGAATCTACAATGATTTCCTGTGAGAAAACTAAATACTAAAATGGTTTAAAAAGCTCATTTTGTTGATTTTCACACTAACTTTGATTTCTGTTAGGCTCAGTTCTCAGTGTTTGTTTCCCACAGGAAGATTATTGGTGGCGCACCGCCTCCCAGGTTTCTGACTAAGAGTCAACATGACGATGATTGAAAGGTTCCCAGAATAATGTATGAGAGTCTGAGGCTGGAAGTGGTTTAGTTTTAGTTTTTCCTGGAAGCAGACAGGAAGTCAGCAGACAGGAAGTCAGCAGACAGGAAGTCAGCAGGCCTGCAGCATCTTCCTTAGCTCCTCGTCCACGCTGCGCTGCCCCAGTTGCTCCATGGTGACGTAGCGGTGCACCACGGCGTCGGCCGTCACCGCCACCAGCCGCACGCCGTGGGTGTCGTCGCCCAGCTGGCAGCCGATGGCCGAGGTCACCACCATGTCCAGGCCGTCGTGGCAGCCGCCGGCGTTCCGGTGGTAATGACCCGAGAAGACGGCCGTCACGCCTGGGAGACGCAGAGAGAAAAGATTCATCACTCAGTTTGTACCAAAGCTGAAAAAAGAACAAAATTAAAAGCAGCAAAACCTTCAAATATTCAGGTCATGTGACCCAGGCGGCCTAAATAAAGTAACACTCCCAGCTACGAATATTTAACACACGTCGTCTGTGGATTTAAACAAGAAACTGATCCTCAGAGATGTATAGAGGCCCAGCGGGCCGGGACCAGAACTGGGCCTGGATACTGGAGCGGCACCGACCCGGCTGCCATGGAGACCGAACTGTAAAAAACAAATTAAACTGGGAAAAAAACATTAAAAACTGAAACAAAACAAATCTATCTGCGCAGACACAGACACACACACACAGAGGGTTGGGTGCCTCCTTCACTCAGGTCAGAGGTCAGAGGTCAGAGGCAAAGTGAGTCCAGCGACAGGAATCAGCGAAACGCCGTTTGGTTCATTCAAAGCACAGAAACTAACATTCAGGCAGCAGATGAATTATTTCCCGGCTCTGAACAATGCTGAGGTTTTATCAGTTTTCAGTGATTTTAACAATAAAATATGAAATATTCCAGCTGCTCTGAAGCTGATCCCTGATCGCTTCATGAAACTCCCTGATGAAATATGGCTGCCATGTCTCTGCTCCCCAGTTTCACCAGTTACAGCTGCAGGCTGGGTTCCAGTTTCACCAGTTACAGCTGCAGGCTGGGTTCCAGTTTCACCAGTTACAGCTGCAGGCTGGGTTCCAGTTTCACCAGTTACAGCTGCAGGCTGGGTTCCAGTTTCACCAGTTACAGCTGCAGGCTGGGTTCCAGTTTCACCAGTTACAGCTGCAGGCTGGGTTCCAGTTTCACCAGTTACAGTTGCAGGCTGGGTTCCAGTTTCACCAGTTACAGCTGCAGGCTGGGTTCCAGTTTCACCAGTTACAGCTGCAGGCTGGGTTCCAGTTTCACCAGTTACAGTTGCAGGCTGGGTTCCAGTTTCACCAGTTACAGCTGCAGGCTGGGTTCCAGTTTCGCATGTCTCTAAGATGAAGTAAGGGAATAGCAAAGGGTCCTTTGGGAATTGCTAGGTGGCGCCGTTGAGCCGTTTCTTTTGCGATTTTTGTGAGGACCTTACATTTAATTTTAACAAAATAATTTTAAATGAAAGTTAACATTTTAATCCTAATTTTGTCTTTGAAGGAAACTTTTATCTTTCAGCTAAAACAATATAATCGTTGATTCCAATAATTAGTAGAACGATTCATCGTTATTGTGAAAAGCAACAATGACAAAAAGAAACGTTATTTCTGCAACAAACCCTGCAGCTCAGAAGTTTTCATACACCTGTCTGCAGCTCGACGTGTTGCTTTGCACCATTATTTTTATGTTTTTGTTATTTTGTCCTGTAAACAGTCTACTCGCTCTCATGGTGTTGGTTTGGGTTGAACTGAAATGATTTTTGTTGATGATAGAAGCTGATTCTGATTCATCTGCTGTAGAGCTTGATGCTCCAGTAGCAGTCAGTGTTCCAATGGCTCTGCAGGGGCCTCTGACTGAAACCTCATCACTGTGCCAGCATGCTAACATGCTAACAACTCAACATCCAGGCAGCAGAGACGATTTTCCTGCGTGAGTCCATCAGCTGTTAGCAGCTCTGCTAATCCTCCTCCTTTGCTTTTGCTTCTCTTTGACCTCCGATTGGTGTCAGTGGAGGGGTTTCCAGTAACGTTTAATGTTTTTCCAACAGCCAGGATGATTTATGAACCTCCTCTGCTACAAAACATAATGAACGTCAGAATCCGGAGCGGCTGCAGCAATAACAGCTCCATCCAATCAGCAGCACATCTGGGGCTTCGCGGCCAGCAGCAGGACCTGATCAGAGCTCAATGCAGGGCTAACGTGGAGGAAACATGGCCAGGCTGATGGATGTTCACAAATAACATCATTTACCACAGATGAGAGGAAGAAATGACTCCTGCACATTTACTGGAGAAAAGCAGCTTTTTTCTTTGAATTTACTGGAACCGGGTCGACCCAGATTCTGGTGGCAGTCGCTCACATCGACTCTGATCAGCAAAACTCCTTCGCTGCCATGGGCACAAATATCACACTAACATTTAACTGGATGTTTGTCATGTTTATATTTCTATATTAATAACCAACATGAGGAAAAGGACAACCTGTGAGCTTTACACACATTTAAATCTAATACGATTTAAATATGATTCAAACAGAAAATATCTCAATATTCCTATAAAGTTTGATTTATGGAGATGAATAAATGAGTACATTTGAATTATTCCTACATAAAAGCTCTAGAATCACATCAGGTTCCTCAGACCAGACGGACATGATGCTCCAGAACACCAACCACTTCCTGAACGCAACAGGAAATGCTTTTATTTTGAAGAACCAGAAGTCTGTCTTACACCACTAGTTTAACATCCACCCACCCATTCATTCATTTATTCATTCATTCAAGGGAAACTTCCTTCACCTTCTGGTCAACCTGGTTCTATTGGCATCAACACAACTACAGCCAACCAAAACCAGCCTGTTCCCCTCCTGGCCTGTGGGGGCGCTGCACCAACAACCACTGCAGGAAACGACACTAAAACCTCTGAAGACACTGAGAGCAACTTCCTGTTTCACCAGATGAAACAAGATGGAGGCGTCAGAGTTTAGTGATTTCTCTTTAGTCTTTGGCTGAAGACCAGGAGCCATTTCTGCTGCTAACGCTAGGCTAGCATGTTAGCTTTGGTTGTAGTCCACTTCCTGCTTTTGGAGCGGTCTCTGGTCCGCTTGCCGTTCACATTCAAACTGAACCCAGAACGAGGTTTGGAGGACCAGAGGTCAGAGGTCGATTAGCGTTTACATCTCACCGACCGGACCGGAGTTGGGTTAAAGCAAACTGAATGATAAAAATCCCAAACCAACCAGTCGTTTGGTTTCACCTCTGATGGCTTTCAGAGGGTAACTCTACATGAAATCACTATTTGCTCCCTCATGTCCCTCATGTCCCTCATGTCCAGTAATTGAACCGTCAGCGTTAAGCAGAGCAGCTCAGAGCAGCCGTCCAGTCAGTGGATCATCAGAGCTCCTGTCCGGTCGGCTGCTTGGTGACATTAACAGGCGAGTCTTACTGGAGTCTCCTGGTCCTCGTTTCCTCACTGAGCTCCTCGTTTGGTTCTCCTAAGCCTCCAACAATGGATCCTGATTAGGGAATTACTCCCTTACAGGACATGAGAGCATTAATTGATTAGCGGAGCGGCGTGTGTGAGCCAGCAGCTTCTCTTGTTCTTCCTGCTAATGGCGTATTAATGGTTTGGGCTGCGATCCCAGAGCTGCCTCTCAGATAAGAACAGTTTCAACGGGAAGCTTTTCCTCACTGAGGCCTGAATCCATCATCAGAAACGCCGGTGGCTGCAATGAGGGAAACGTCTCGTCCAGCCGCCATCATGTCGGGCCCGGCTTCCTGCTGGAGCGCAACAACAGCTAGCTGACAACCAGCTGGCTTAGCCATCAACTTCAACAACTTGACGGCAATGTAATCATATATATACAAATATAGAATTATAAATGTATGCAAGCAATAGGGATTGAACGACTTCATACTTTTCAAGGTCGACTACAACATAATAAACGTCGATTCGAAGTCGACTCGTCGCTGTGATGTCATAGTGATGTAAGCGAGGCTTTATCAGCTAAATTCACCACAAATATTGATAAAAAAACAGCATTTAATGAGTCCATTATGCAGAATTAATAGAACAAGAAACAGATCAAACAGAGAAAAGTCTGAAAAGTTGCACAAAGTTGGGTCTGAATGAGTGGTTTTGAGTTTCCTGTGCTCTGAACTAATCGCTTCTTCTCCAGGTTTCATTTGGCTCACGGTTCTGATGGCATGCAGGAACAGAATATTCCTTTTACTATCCAAAGGGAATATTCTGCTCCAAATGTCTGGATGTAAACATTAACATGCGTCTATAGCATCAAGCTGAGTGATTGACAGGAAGATGAAACCAGGAAGTGCTGCCCTACCTGCCCGTTTGAAACGCTCTATTAGGCTCTGCCTCGCTTCCTGCGGCAGGTTGAAGTACTCGTCCTGTTCATCAGGACTCTTCACATACAGAGGAATGTGCTGGAAAACCAAGATGTGTTTGGGTTTGGGTTCCTACACACAAAACAGAAACAAGCACCGGATCCTGGTTCAGTTCAGGAGTAGCTCTGCGTGAATCAGAGCGTCACGGCGCCGTACCGCAGAGGAGGCCCTGCTCAGCTGCGCCTCCAGCCACGTCTCCTGAGCCGCCTTCTGCTGCGGGCAGGCCGAGGCGTTGAAGTACAGCTGGGAGTTGAGGACCAGGCAGAGAACGCCGCCCACCTGGGAAACACCGAGACCAGCAGCAAAACCATCAGACCAGCAAAACGTCCCAACATCACATGACTTCACAGGTCTCCTTGTAACCCCTATGCAGGGGTGGAAAATTCAGTTTTTAACCAATAAAAGTCTTTCTTTGAGCCCACCCACCCTTAATATCCCCACCGACTCTGAAAATCTAGTGGCTGAAGTTTTTATCAGCCCAAACTTCTCATCTGCCAAATGATTTACTAGATTAAATTGCAGACGAATGAAAGTTTTCTTCAGGAATGAAAACTGACTGACCCAATTTTGTTTTAATTAGTGTTTGACAAACATCCGGTTTGGACCGTCTCAGGTTCTGGTCTTCCTCTCCCCGTTCACACAAGATGACAATCTTAGAACATGCAACGTTCTGAGATCGTCGCTTGGGATAATCGGTCATCCTGTAGCACGGCGCATTTCAGCTGACCGGCTCCAGTGCGTTGGATCACCGCAGCCTGTTGAACGTGGCAGCAGGCCAATCAGAAAGCGCGGTGACGTAAGAACGGAGCGGATCCCAAACATCAGAGATGATACGCGGATCATCATACAGGGAACAACATCAGAAATGATAATGAGAGGAACTGGAGCGAAACTGGTACAGAAGTTTAAGAACCCGGTCAGTTTTCAGCTGCTATTAAGCTGACATGATGTAACGATGAATGAAGGTCATTCATCCAGTCAGGCCTGATGCTGACGCCACATGCACTGCAGGCAGACTGCAGGAAAACATTAATGCTGCTTTTAAAATGAACTAACTGGACTTGTAGCCATTATTTCATTCACATTGTTTTCAATGTCATTGTAAACATTACATGACAAATACTAATTAACTGATGAAACTTAGAGAAACAACAGAACAGAAAACAATCTTTTGTTTGTTTGCTCTAAATTTACGTGTGATACAGAAGTTTTTACGAGATTTGCTGACTGGAATCTGAATGTCAGTGAGAAAAATCAGTTCATGTATGGTGTGTTGCTCTTGACATGCAGCTGGAAACACGAACCGATCGCACCAACTGAACCGACTGAACCGACTGAACCGATTGAACCTGTTATACCTACGATTGTTTGTCGTTTAGAGAGTGGTCTCTCTCAGGTTTTGAAAATCGGCCAACAAATCTAAAATTGTTTCGTGTGAAGTGGGCTTCACACGATGTTTATTTTTATTGTTTGTTCTTTGGGCCTCACAGCCAATCAGAGAACAGCAGTGAATTTTGAAACTTTCTAAACTGATTTAACTATTTAGATCAATAAAGTCTCATCACATTATGACTTCTGTTATCTCACATACAGAAAAAGCCTATTTTATTTATGAGCCAGCTACTCACACACACTGACGCTGATATGAACGATAGATTCAGAATTTGAGTCATAATATGTCATGTAGTTTTTAAAATGAAAGAAAAACATGAATAACTAGCAAAAGATTACCAACTGGTTCAGATGATCACCAGTGTCTCCTCTCCAGTGAGAATCGGACATCTTGTTTGTGTCTGCAGTATTTTTTGTTCTGCTCACCCAGAAGCTGAAGTAGTCGTCGCCCCAGGACTGGCAGTACCGCTCCACCGTGCTGGGAGTCGGGACCTGGTCCAGGTCGTGGTTCCCGCTGACGAACACGAGCGGGATGGACGGGTCCGTCCCCCTCAGAGCCTCCTTCAGGTCCCGCTCCTGGGCTTCTCTGAATTCGGTTCCTGGCGGGTAGAGAGGCGACGGCCGGCTGAATGAGTTTCACTCTAAACAGTTATTTGATCATGTTTGAGCAGAAGGAGGCGTCTGGTGAAGACGCCGTGTTGAAGTCGAGTAGGTTTTCATCTCCAACCAGGGCAGGATGATTTGGCCAAAATCACCATATAAACACTTCTAATCAGCCAATGTCAATAATCATTGATTAGTTTAGTGTTTTAAATATCTGACATGAAACCAAACTGTCAGTGTGACATTTCCTGCTTTAGTTCTCAGCAGCTATTAGGAAACAAAGTTACGTCGCTACCTGGGGTTATATTTAACACATCATCCTGTAGATGACCTTTGACCTGTTGTTCCTTTTAGACTGCATTTTAAACATGTTAGATAGTAATTTTATACATTCAATAAAGATAAAAGTGTGACCTCCCACCACGTTTACTGTTAATATTTTACATCATGTTCCAGCTGAAACTGAAAAATGGACGTGTTAAAGTTCATCTTGATCATAAACCTGAGACGACAAATGCTTCTGCATGATAAAGACATCATTACATTAAATGATAAAGTTGTTGTTTTGAGACCATTTTCACTAAAATAATCTTAAAAACAACAGAAACAGCAAACAAAATGAATTATCAGGGTCCAAAGAACCAGAGTGAATTTAAAATGATAAAGGAAGAGTTTGCTTTACTTTATGATATGATTAATGGGTTTATTGGCCTACTTGTTCACATGTGGATGAGTTCGGTGTAAACAGCTGAATCATGTGTGAAGGACATGTGCATGAAGAATCCATCAGATCCTTCCTGGTTTGTGTGTGAATTAAGCTGAAGGAGCGTTAGCAACAGCCGGGAGGCGCCAACCAGCGCTAACTAGCTTTGCATGACAATGAGGGATGAGCACAGGGCTCCTGCCTTGCTAAAGGGCCTAGGGGAAGAGCAGACGCCTGTCTTCATGCCATCTCATTGACCTGCTGGCACATCTAAAGCAGCGATCAGAGCTCCTCTGCAGGTCGGCGCACATATTAATCACAATTGGTAAATCTTCTCTGGGAAAACGGCGTATCAGAACGTCCTTGGTCTCCTGCTGGACTCCAGGCAGGTTATTCATATTCAGGCCGACCGGGTCGCTCTGCTGTTTCTGGGTCACACTGACCGGCAGGCAGCAGCACATGAACAGCAGGAGGCCCTGCAGGCTCACCAGGCTACCAGCAGCAGGCTAACACAACCAGGCTAACAGCACCAGGCTGACACCACCAGGCTAACAGCATCAGGCTAACAGCACCAGGCTAACAGCATCAGACTAACAGCATCAGACTAACAGCATCAGGCTAACAGCATCAGACTAACAGCATCAGACTAACAGCATCAGACTAACAGCATCAGACTAACAGCATCAGACTAACAGCATCAGGCTAACAGCATCAGACTAACAGCATCAGGCTACCAGCAGCAGGCTAACACAACCAGGCTAACAGCACCAGGCTGACACCACCAGGCTAACAGCATCAGGCTAACAGCACCAGGCTAACAGCATCAGACTAACAGCATCAGACTAACAGCATCAGGCTAACAGCATCAGACTAACAGCATCAGACTAACAGCATCAGACTAACAGCACCAGGCTAACAGCATCAGGCTAACAGCATCAGACTAACAGCATCAGACTAACAGCATCAGACTAACAGCATCAGACTAACAGCATCAGGCTAACAGCATCAGGCTAACAGCATCAGACTAACAGCATCAGGCTAACAGCATCAGACTAACAGCATCAGGCTAACAGCAGCAGGCTAACACAACCAGGCTAACAGCACCAGGCTGACACCACCAGGCTAACAGCATCAGGCTAACAGCACCAGGCTAACAGCACCAGGCTAACAGCATCAGACTAACAGCATCAGGCTAACAGCAGCAGGCTGACACCACCAGGCTAACAGCATCAGGCTAACAGCAGCAGGCTAACAGCACCAGGCTAACAAAACCAGGCTAACAGCACCAGGCTAATAGCATCAGGCTAACAGCACCAGGCTAACGGCTGACTGGGTCTGTTTCACCTGGCAGTGAGATGAATCACCAACCAATCTTGTCACAATAAATCAATAATGATCAATTAAAATGAGCTCAATCATTTCTATTAGTCTTTCAATCTAGACTAAAACCTGTTTAAAGTTTTTAAAGTTTCTTTTGAACCAGAATAAATAAAACCAATCTTTGTCAATGATTTTGGTGAACATATTAAATTTATTTTATCGTGTATCCCGGCGACAAGCGGCGTTTGAACCCGCAGGCCCAGTTACCGTCGGTTACCGTGGGCCGCCACACAGAAGGCAGCGCGCGCCATCCTCATTACTCGCCACGTCCGTCACGGCGCCGCTAAGCAGCCTGACGGAGGATGAGCCGGCTGACATCCCCCTTAAAGTGTTTATTTACCGTCTGGAATGGAAGCAGGAGGCTGCCTGCCGGTGACAGGAAATTGGCAAGAGTCTCTGTAGCGGAGATCTGACTTCCTGTTGCTCCTTTTAATCGCTCTCATTGTGTTCGCCCATCACCATCTCCCTCGCCCATCACCATCTCCCTCGCCCATCACCATCTCCCTCGCCCATCACCATCTCCCTCGCCCATCACCCGAACCGTCTCCCATCACCTGAACCCTCGCCCATCACCCGAACCCTCTCCCATCACCTGAACCCTCGCCCATCACCCGAACCCTCGCCCATCACCCGAACCCTCTCCCATCACCCGAACCGTCTCCCATCACCCGAACCCTCGCCCATCACCCGAACCGTCTCCCATCACCTGAACCCTCTCCCATCACCTGAACCCTCGCCCATCACCCGAACCGTCTCCCATCACCTGAACCCTCTCCCATCACCTGAACCCTCGCCCATCACCCGAACCCTCTCCCATCACCCGAACCGTCTCCCATCACCCGAACCCTCGCCCATCACCTGAACCCTCGCCCATCACCCGAACCGTCTCCCATCACCTGAACCCTCTCCCATCACCTGAACCCTCGCCCATCACCCGAACCCTCGCCCATCACCCGAACCCTCGCCCATCACCCGAACCGTCTCCCATCACCCGAACCCTCGCCCATCACCCGAACCGTCTCCCATCACCTGAACCGTCTCCCATCACCCGAACCGTCTCCCATCACCTGAACCGTCTCCCATCACCTGAACCGTCTCCCATCACCCGAACCGTCTCCCATCACCTGAACCCTCTCCCATCACCTGAACCCTCTCCCATCACCCGAACCGTCTCCCATCACCTGAACCCTCTCCCATCACCCGAACCCTCTCCCATCACCTGAACCCTCTCCCATCACCTGAACCGTCTCCCATCACCTGAACCCTCTCCCATCACCTGAACCCTCTCCCATCACCCGAACCGTCTCCCATCACCTGAACCCTCGCCCATCACCCGAACCGTCTCCTAACCCTATCGGCCCGTTAACCTGCCTTGGAGACTGACATGGGAGTCCATTCAGAAACACTTTGATCTATGCTGACCCCTGATCGGATCCTAATAGATCCCTGATCAGACTCTGATCAGCCTCTGCAGGACCCTTCAAATGTTTGATTTGTTTGTTGGTCATAAATGAATGAGCTTCTCTGATTATTATAATCGAATAATTAGCTTTAAAAAATAACACATTCTGCAGATTTTTAATTTGACCATTTAAGCTTGTTTTATATGGTACTTTAAAAAAGCAAAAGATAAAAATAAATAATTCAATTCCTTTTTCTAAATATTAAAACATTTTCTTTCCTAAAATGTAACATAGCAAAGAATAAATCGGCAGCTAAATAAATACTAAAAAACAGTTGTTGAACTTTCTTGATTCAACATTAAGTATTTTTTAACAAACTAAATAATGATTTAATAGAAGAATTTTACAGAATTCAAACCAAACGGAGCAAAAACTGAAACACAAAGTTGAACAGATTTACATCCAGAGATGCAAAATGTTTACGTTTTGTTCAGTTTTGGTTTCATTTCTGCTCATTTTCAGCAAATGCCATATTTTAGTTAAATACTCAGTTACTAAATTAGTTGATATTATTTCAGTAATTGATCAATCTGATGAATTGTTGAAGGAAAACGAAGCTCTGAACCGATCAGCTTCCTCTCCAGAGACTCTTCTCATCTCAAGGACTTCCTTCAGTCAGCCTCACTCCTCGCCGCCTCGCGTCTTCCCTCGCTAACTTTTAAAGCTGACAAATGAAGAGGATAAGGAGCGCTGGCGAGGCGCGGCGCGGCGCGGCGAGGCGAGGCACGGCGCGGCGCCGCGGGGTGAGATGGAGAGCTGATTAGATTAGAGGAACGTTCTGGACCTGACACCCGTCTAATGAGCTCCACAAAGGGTTCTGCTGCGTCTCCGGGGAACGGGGGCGCCGCGGCCCATGCGCCCGGCGCCGAGAGACGTCTCAGTCCGTCTCTCTGAAACACGCAGAGATGAATTACAGGCTGATTGGAGACTTCCCTTTCGCCGCGCCGTAACCGTGGAAACGTGTAATTGGCAGTGAGAGGCGATGATGAAGGAACCTGATGAGTGGATGAGAGGAGACCGGGTTCTGCTGGGTCCAAACTGAAGCTTCTGGTTCTTTCTGCTGCTCAGGTCATCAGCAGGACAGAATGGTTTATCATGGCCAATCGATTATTGAAATGATTCTCAACTAATTTAGTAAATTAATCCTTAACTGGAATAAACGGAATAAAAACAACACAGTCAGCAGAAATGAAGCAAAAACTGAACATTTGAATTTAAAATAAATTTATCTTCACATTTTTTATCCAATCAGTTCATCTAAAATAATCCCAAGATCAGCTCTGCTGTCCAGATGTTCAGCTCTTCTCATGCTGATGTTAGAAAATCTTTTAGCTTCTGGCCTTTATAACCTAAAATGTTACTGAATTTTAGACAATAAAATGTTGGTTTTAGTTTCTTTTAAAGGAAAAGTATTTCTAATGTTGTATAAAAAGGCTTAAAGGAAAAATCT